ACTTGCTTGCAAAATCATCTATCTTCTCGGAGTTTATCATCGTTAGTCTATCAAATTCAGCCATTAGGGTTTGTAGTCGAGCCTCTCTAACCCTCTCTGCTCCGACGTGTTTTGTTTTTATAGCATCCCAAACTTTCTTCGCCGTATTTAACTCACCAACTTCTAGAACAAGGGCTTCAGGGATGGACTGAAACAACAAGATCGTGGCCAGGTCATTCTTCTCTGTATCGGTTGATCCTGCCTCTATGGTTTCCCACACCTTATGAACCCTAAGCGTGCTTCTCATCCTCATGGCCCATACGGTGTAATTTGTTGAATTTAGCATCGGGCATTGGATTGACGTTGATCCACCTCCTCCTCCTTGTTTGTCCGGTATAGTTGTGATCTCGCTCATCTTTCTCTATCAGATCCTCTACTCGAAGAAGCTCTGATACCAATCTTGTTTTAGAGATATGAATTAAGACTCAAAAGAACAACTTTCTCTTTATTAAGGAAAAACTAACTCAAAACCTTAATCTCTCAACTCAAAATCTCTTAAGCCATACCACACTTTGATATGTGCTTATATAGTCACAACCCTTAACCTAATCATAACTCAATTAGGAAAACTATAGAATCTTCTAGATAACTCCTAGAGATTTAACATTTATCTTAATACAAACCGATAACTTGCTCTTGAAGTAAACTCCGGTTTACTTCTCTTCAAGCTTAAACCAACACTTTCCGCTCTAACACTTCTCTCTATGCCTGGTTTCACGTATAAATAACTCTTGGTTTCACTCATTTGAAGGCAATAAGTTGTTTTTATGTAGTTTTCATGTTCTTGGATTTTGAGTATCTACCGGCACAAGTTTTCAGAATGCAAGGAACAAAATAAGAAGAAAGATGACTAGAAAACATTAAGTTTTCTTACCTTAAAGCACAAGAAATATAACAGAGCAGTGGATAAAAATAAGAAGAGTACGTTGAGAAATTACCAGCCCCATTTTTTTTTTTTTTTAAATTTAATTTCCATTCAAAAACGAGATTACAAAGTTAAAAACCCAAAGGCCCAACCCAAACAAAAGGAAGAGCATAAAACTTACCAACTACAAATTGCCAGGTCCAACTACGACCAAGGCAAACCTGCAACAAACCAGTAGGCCAACCTATAGCAAAATTACAGTTGAAACACCTGAAACCAAGTAGACAATAAAGAGAGAGCAGGAGGAATAACAATCTGAGCTCTAGAGAGAGGGTCTAGCCTATATCTGATGGTATTTTTGATGTCAACTATGAGAGCACAAGGAGGCCGTGAAACATGAGAGTGAAGCCGACTGTTCCTTTCTTTCCAAATAGTATAAATAGAAGCTTGAAAAGCCAGCTTCACAATGATTGCCAAATTTCCATTTGGACATGGGTCTTTAATCCATCTAAGAACATGCTCAAATAATAGTGGTGGGGAGACACGTGCCTTAGATGAGAAGAAAGACCAAACCTCAGAGGAGAAAGGGCAATCGAAGAAGAGGTGTTGATGTATTTCATTTGCAGCGTTGCAGAGGAGGCAAAGAGGAGGGACATAGAGTCCCCAACTAATCAGTCTATCCTTAGTTTGAAGCCTATTTCTGGCCGCCAGCCAAGCAATGAAGGCGTGCTTTGGAATTCTGCCTTTGAACCAAATGCTTTTATGCCAAGCGACTTCTTGGATCGGAGGCTTCAGCTCATGCCAAGTAGCAGACGTGGATAACTTAGAGGAGGGAGGCAAGTCTCCCACTTTCCACAAATACCTATCATCCACTCGGGAAGGGTCAACCAACTGTGAAGAAGGGAGGCTTTGCTTTAAAAATTGTATCACCGGATTTCTGCTTCTAGAAGACGAAATCCACCAATCCCCATTTGAGAGAGCATCAGCCACAACAGCTGACACCGACAATCCTGTGATTCTCGGACCTAACTCACCAGTAATATCAATGAGGGGTCCAAGAGAGGTCCAGTTATCTTTCCGGAAACTACAAGTTATCCCAAAGCCAATCTCACAAGTAATAAAGGGTATGGCCAATGTTCTCAGCTTGCATAAGTTTCTCCAGATCCAACTTCCTGCATTATTTGCGACAACATCCCAGAAACAAGTAGAGCCAATTAAATGTCTACGAACCCAAGAGACACATAAGGATCCACCGGCTGCAAAAATTAACCAAATTAGCTTAAGACTTAGAACTTTATTCCAAGCCAGCAACCAGGGCCGTGCCTATGGGCAATTAAAAAGGCATTTGTTTCAGGTAACAAAAATATAAAGATTTTTTAGGGCCACCAAATTTCACAAATTTAGTGTATCAGAATGGTTTTAGAGAACTCTTTAATGGGTTAACAACCCAAGTTCAAATATGCAAATAATTTTTTTTTTGTATTTATACACAATTAAGCTTTACAATAAAGAAATCGAGATTTCCAAACCGGTAAGAAAACATATCTCAAACAAAAAAAGAAACTAGAATCCTAAATTGAAAAGGAATCGAGTAAAGGTTGTGAATTTTTGGAATTTTTCTATCGTTTGGAATTAAAAAAAAATTATTTAAAAATTATATTAAAAAGGTATTTTTTTGGGTCCCTAATTTCAACTTCGCCTTAAGCCTCGATAATCCTGGGCACGGCACTGCCAGCAACCTCCTTAGACCAAGACCACCACATTCTTTAGGAGTGCACACTGAATCCCAACTAACTTTTGCCCCTCTAGCTGAGT